TCAGATTGGCCTAGGATTCACTATGTATTCCACACTAGCATTTGAGCTTGGTAGCCATCCTCCTCCCTTTGCCTTGTGTTAGGATTACAGGTGTGTGCAGCCATGCCTGGCAAAAATATTTTTGAATAACCACAAATAATGCTTATTACTTCCCTGCTAATCCTATTAGCTTCCCACTGCACTGGAAGTTTATTCTAGCCCTTAACTCATTTGGGTTAAGGGCTATCTGGCTCCTTATCTCTTCCTCCAAAGTTCTTCCAGTTATGCTTAAGTTCACTTTTTTTTGTACATTTTTTATGTAAAAATGCTGTACAGAGGGGTTACAGTTACATGAGCAAGGGAATGAGTACATTTCCTATTGAGCATTGTTGCCTCCTTAGATTTTCCCCTACCATTCCTTCCTTTCCATCTCCACAACTACCTTCCCCCTCCTCCCTTAAGTTTACTTACTCAGTTTACTTCATACCATGTTTTCCAGAGTGCCTCTGTGGCCTTTGTACACACTGTACTTTATTGGCATCCTACACTGTTCTTTGTGTGATACCTTCTTTTACCTTGAGCATGCAGCTTCAGTCTTGCCTCCTTAAAAAGACTGTCCAAAGCCAGGCACTGGTGGTTCACACCTATGATCCTAGCTACTCAGGAGGCTGAAATATGAGGGTCTTGGTTCAAAGCCAGCTGAGGTAGGAAAGTTTGTGAGACTCCTAACTCCAATAAACTATTCAGAAAAAGTTAGAAGTAGCAATGTGGTTCAAGTGGTAGAGTGCTAATCTTGAGCAAAAAGCAACTTAGGGACTGCACCCAAACCTGTTCAAGTCCCAGGACCGGAAAAAATAAACAAGGCTGTCCAAAGCTGGGAACTAGTGGCTCACGCCTGTAATCCTACCTACTTTGGAGGCTGAAATCTGAGGATTGCAATATGAAGCCAGGCCAGGCAGGAAAGGTTGTGAAACTCCAGTTAGCCACCAGAAAAACCTTAAGGAGAGCTGTGGTTCAAAATGATGGAGTAGAAAAGTTTAGAAACATTACCCAAGTACTGAGATCAAGCCCCACAACTGACCAAAAAAAGCGGGGAGGTGAGGGGGGCTGGGAAGGTGGCTCAGTGGTAGAGTGCTTGCCTTGCATGCATGAGGCCCTGGGTTCGATTCCTCAGCACCACATAAGCAGAAAAGGCCGG